TTTTTTTTTTTTTTTTTTTTTGAGTCGAAGTCTCACTGTGTCACCCAGACAGGAATGCAGTGGCATTCTCACGGCCACCACCACCTTGACCTGCTGGACTCAAGTGATCTTTCTACCTTAGCCTTCCAAGTAGCTGGAACCACAGGAGTGTGCCACCACACCTGGCTAAATTTTTTGTTTATTATAGAAACGAGGTCTCGCCAAGTTGCTCAGGCTGGTCTCGAACCCCTAGGCTCAGGCAGTCCTCTCGCTTCTGCCTCCCAAAGTACTGGGATTACAGGTGTGAGCCACCACACCCAGCTAGTCTTTTTTTTTTTTTAAACGTGATTTTCCTATTACTATTTGCCACCGTTATTTTTATTTTTATTTTTTTAAGCCTGGGATCTCTGTCACCCAGGCTGGAGTACAGCGGTGCAATCACAGCTCTCTGCAGCTTCAACCTCCTGGGCTCAGGTGATCCTTCCACCTCAGCATCCCAAGTTTCAAGTTGCTAGGACTACAGACATGTGCCACTAGATAATTTTTTTTTAAGAGATGAGGTCTTGCTGTGTTTCCTAGACTGGTCTCTAACTCTTGGGCTCAAGCAATCCTTCCACCTTGGCCTCTCAAAGTGTTGGGATTACAGGCATGAACCACCACTGCCCAGCGAAGATTCACTAATCATTAACATTTCCCACATTTGCCTTTTCTTGATATAAACGTTCTCCCCTAGGCCAGTTGAAAGTAAGTTGCAGACATTCTGACTCTTCATCCCTAGATACTTGAGTGTGCATCTCCTGGGAATGAGGACACGCTCTCCATAACCACAATTTCACCAGCATGCCCAGGAAATGTAAAGTTGACAGAAAATATTATCTAATAGGTGGTGCTATTACTCCAGTTGCCTTCTAAATGTGCTCCATAGTTTGGGTTCCCCCCATCCAGGATCCAATCAAGAATCATGTACTGGATTTGGATTTGGTTGTCATGTCTAAGCACTTGTAACATGTTAATATCCCAATGATGGGGTACTAGCCTCATTTTACAGATGAGAAACTGAGGCATAAGGAAATTGAGTCACTTGTCCAAGTTACACTGCCAGAGAGTGGTGGAACCTCTTGGTCTTTCCAATCTCCCTGCCTTTTTCTTGACCCTTGGTGTTCTGTTCTCAACCCAGCAGGAAGAGGGGTCATTTTAAACTGCAGATCATAGGTCACTCCTCTGCTCAAAGCCCTGTCATAGCTCCTGACACCTCTCCAAATAAAAGCCAAAGTCCTCACAATGGCCCACGACCTGCCTCCTACTTTCATCACCTTCTGACCTCATCACCTTCTCCATCCTCTCAGCCCAGCCACCCTCTCCTGGGTGTTCCTCCAGTATATCAGGCTCATTCTAGCCTTAGGGCCTTTGCACATGCTGTTCCCACTGCTAGGAGCGCTCCCAGCAACCCCCATACCAGCAGTCACTCCTTACACTCCTGCAAATTTGACCCAAATGTCCATATCTCCGTGAAATTTTCCCAGGCTACCTTGTTTAGCACCCCAGCGCTCCTGAGCATTCCCTGTGCCCCTTCCCTGCCTTGTCATTGTAGCGCTTACTGCTGACACACTCAATGTTTTAGGAGCTCACGTTGCCAGCTGTCTCCCCTACCTAAAGGCAGGCTCTGTGTGGGCTGGATTGTCTGTTTTGTCAGCTGCGATGTCTCCAGCTCCTTAGGACCGAGGCAGACAACTGGCAAAGAGTCCTGGGTCAGTGGCGAGGAGAAGAGGGTGCAGTGGCTCATGCATGTACTCTCAGCACCTTGGGAGGCTGAGGCAGTTTGAGACTAGCCTGGGCAACATAGCAAGACCCCATCTTTACAAACGATCATTTAAGAAGAGCCCAGAGTGACACTGTTGCTATCCTATAGCATGTGTTCTGTGAGGAGTGCCTCTGCCTGTGGCTGGACCGTGAACGCACCTGCCCGCTCTGCCGCTCAGTCGCCGTGGACACACTGCGCTGCTGGAAGGATGGCGCCACGTCGGCGCACTTCCAGGTGTATTAGTGCTGGACGCCGAGGACACGCAGAAGGACGCCGGAGGGTTTGCATTCCCGGGTCCGGCCATGGGGGATTCCTGGAAAACAGGCCTTGAGCACTCCCATCCTGCCCTCCACCCCCTCCGACCCCATAACCTGGCCCCGGTCCTGTCCTCCCCACTATCATCTTCCTCTCTGGTTCTTCCCCTACAAATGGGGAAGTCCTGCCACCTCGTACCTAGTCCCCTCCCAGGTAGCTCTTCCATCCCGCTCCAAGGCAAGCACCCGGCAGTGCAAGGCATTCCCACCTGCTGGTTATGTTGGGCCAGTACCAAGTACTTGATGCTGCAGACTGGGGAGGAGCCCGGAGACCACTGCCTCCCCCCAAAGGCCCAGGCTTGTAGATTCAAATCACTGTGAAGTATTTTCACACTACACATGCTGGATCCCACTGTACCCCTATGATAACTTCATGTCCCAAACACTTCGTGTGTGCCAGGCACGGCATTGAGCACGCTGCTTGGATTGCCTGCAGCTGGCCTCCCAATTCCACAGATGAGAAAACTGAGACATGGGGCTCAGTATGGCAATGTTCCCAGGGTCACCCAGACAGCCATAGCGGACCAAATTTTCAGCATAGGTCTGGTCCAGCTTTAGAGAGCCCATGCTCCTTTTTTTAATTAGAGACAGCATCCTGCTATATTGCCTAGGCTGGATTTGAACTCCTGGGCTCAGGCGATCCTCCCACCCCAGCTTCCAAAGTAGCTGGAACTTTTCTTTTCTTTTTTTTTTTTTTTGAGTCAGAATCTCACTCTGTTGCCCAGGCTGGAGTGCAGTGGTACGCTCACGACCACTGCAGCCTCGACCTGCTGGGCTCAGGCAACCTGTCTGCTTCAGCCTTCCAAGTAGCTGAAACTACAGGAGCTCGCCACCGTGCCTGGCTAATTTTTTGATTTATTGTAGAGACGAGGTCTTGCCATGTTGCCCAGGCTGGTCTCGAATCCCTGGGCTAAGGCAATCCTCTCTCCTCGGCCTCCCAAAGTGTGGGATTACAGGCGTGAGCCAACCCACCCGGCAAGCCTGCAGCTTTAACCACTGCGCTGACCCGCCCCTCAGACCTTCCCGGTGCGGAGCCTCGCAGACATGGTTTTGTAAAAGCACACGAGGTGACTGTGGTCCATCCCTGGCAAGAATGAGTGACCCAGGCACTGAGCTAGTTAGATGCGGGCTGTGTTGAGAATGCAGTGAACACCAGCTCCTCACATCTACTTGCAGCTGGGTCCACAGAAGAACTTGATCCTTAAAATTTTCCTGGGCTCTGGCTGGGTTGCTGGATCCCTTTTGGGTGTCAAGAAAGGCCAGCTTTGGCCCAGATGTGGGTACCACTCTCTTTGTCCCCCGTCTTCATCTCTCTTCTCCTGTTTTGTCCTCTCCCTCACTTAAGTCTCAGGCCTATCAATGGCTCCTGCAGACCTCACTGTCCCCGCTGGTGGCCTGCAGAGCAAAAGGGATGATCCTTGTAACAGATTTTTCCACGAGCCAGGGTGGTAGCCTGGAGCACATAGCAATCCGTGTTTCTGAAATCCTTAGGACAAAGCTACTTCTCCACCTGTGAAACTCTCCCTGCTGTGAAATCTGGGATGAGATGGCACAGGTGACCACACAGCAGCCACTGGAATCTTGCCTGCCTGATTCCTCCCCCAACTCTCTTCTCTTATTGTCAACATCAGCACAACAGGCTGGTGCCGATGGCATTAGGGAGAAAGCAATCTGTGTGACTGTGAGCAGTTTAGCACGCAAGTCCTGGGAGGGGTGGAGGAGCCTGGCGGCCACCTCCCTCCCAGCCAGTATTATCATGTCCCCTCCCCCCCATAGATTCAAGACCCTTGCCCCTGTGTGCCGCCAAGCCAGGACGTCTGCCTTTGCTTGGCATCCCTGCCTCTCCTGGTACTCAGCAAGACGTCTCTTCCAGGGCAGCAAGGCATCTTTCAAGCTCTGTTACTATGGCGATGGCGGTGATGTTACAATCCCGCTTGCCTGGATAATCAAGCAGGAAGGGGGAGCAGAGGGAAACGGGACCAGGTGGATGTGGCTGCTCTGTTCTTCCCACCTTGAGGGAGAACCGAGGGGAGGCAACAGGAACTTCTGCAACTGCTTTTATGAGAAAAACAGTCCTGCCTGCAGATGCTGTGAGAAGCCCAGGAAGTTGGAGCCAGAGGAGGCCGATTCTGATGCAGGTGTGTGACGAAGCAGGTAGCACAACCTTTTGGGAGTCAGACCTGGAATTCTGATTCCAAACTCTGCATCACTTTGGGAAGTCACTTTACCTCCCTGTGGCTGTCTCCACGGTGACATAACCTAGTATATGATCTGCTGGAATCCGGGAAACTAACAACGTAGATTACTGGTGAATGCACCAGTGGTTTTGCCAGTTACATCCATGCCATATACACACACACAAAATTCTACCATCCTGCAAATAATGAGCCATGTGTCGGACACTATAAAGAATGTCATGTGGGGGACAGGAGGATGGTTTAGTTTAGGATTTTATTTATTCATATCCTACCCTCATGGGGAACGTCCCATCTGAGGTTTTCTTCTGGGTGGGAGGATTTAACTTCTACTTTGGGGGGAAACAGTGACTAATGCCAGTTTCCCAGCACCAGGCTGCATGAATTCCCCAACACTAGGGTGAATACAGCCAAGTGTCCTTGTTGGAAAAGAACAATGCCACTCCCCTTTGCCCATTTTGGCGCTGCAACTCATTTGTTATGAACAGGATTAATCAAGTATCAGGTTCAGACTCTCCTGCTCTTAATATTTCATGATTCACTGACTCAAGTTCCACGACATCCTTAGATATGGGTCCTCATAATGTAAGGTCTCAAGAGTGATGCATGTGAGGGAATAAGAAGGGCAAGCGTTGGACTCAAATGTGATAGGTTCATCCGCTTTAAAAGAGAAGACTGCATGGACTGCAAAGACTCAAGATTGGAAGGAGGAGGCGTAAAGTGGGTCCTGGAACCTTTTTGTGCGCGTGTGTATCAGAGTCTCACTCTGTCTCCCAGGCTGGAGTGCAGTGGCACACTCACACTCATTGCAGCCTCGACCTGCTGGGCTCAGGCGATTCTTCCGCCTCAGGCTCCCAAGTAGCTGGAACTACAGGCACGCACCACCACTCCTGGCTCATTTTTTAATTTATTGTGGAGATGAGGTCTCCCCATGTTGGCCAGGCTGGTTTCGAACTTCTGGGCTCAGGCAATCCTGTTGCTTCTGCCTCTCAAAGTGTTGGAATTACAGGCGTGAGCCACTGCACCTAGCTGAGTCCTGGAATGCTTTAGGACTTTTACTCTGGGACCAACAGCTGTCTTTGGTGTTTTTAACGTCTCCTGAAGTACCCTTCCACCAATAAACATCATCTGTTAATGTAACTTGTGCTCGTGGCCTGGAGTCCCCTTTTACTCAAGAAGCCAAGTGGAACTGTTTTAGATCAAATGAGAGAAGCACTTCAAGGAGTGGGCGGTTATCTTATGTTAGTTTCCCCTGAAGCAGGGCCTGTGGGCGTGCACGTGATTTGTGAAGGAAATGCTCCCATGAGAAGCCAGGAAGGGAATGAGGGAAACAGAACAGAGAAAGGAAAGGAGCTGAGCTAGGGGATGATCCTGGTGAAGTCCCAGCCTCCGCCTGATTCCAGATCCCACAGGAAGGAAGCTCAGGTTTGTAAGTTGCATCTCAGAGTTTGTCCCGCCCTGCAGAACACACACCAGTCAATCCTTGGCTCCAGGTTGATGGAGGGACCTCCCAGGCCCTCCCCAGAGGACGCCCCCATGTCCAGGGGAAAGTCTCTGAAGGTCTCAGGTGCCAGCGAAGCCCAGAAAGCTGCAGGATGGGAACCCAGACCTGATAAAAGGGGTCAGAAAGGACCTCAGTGAGGCACCAATGGTGCCTGCATACAGGGGCTAACTCTAGGTTGTATGGACCCAAAAAGAATAGGCTGATTCAGGGAGGGATCGCCTGGGTGACAGAGTATGACAGATATTTAAACGTAAACTAACAGCATTAGATGACAATTCATGACTCTCAGGGTAACATTATGGCAACCAGCCACAAAAACATCATCAAGCAGGCCTTTCTGGTTTCCACTGTTGGAAAACCAGCTCAGTATGGCTTAAGGAGAAGAAGGACTTTAGGCCAGGCACGGTGACTCACACCTGTAATCCCAGGAGTTTGGGACTGAGGGTGGTGGATTGTCTGAACCAGGAGTTCAAGACCAGCCTGGACAGCATAGTGAGACTTCATCTCTATCAAAAAAATCAAAAAATTAGCTGGATGTGATGACATGTGCCTGCAGTCCCAGCTATTTCGGAGGTTGAGGCAGAAGAGTCGCCTGAGCCCAGGAGGTCAAAGCTATAGTGAGCCATGATGGTGCCACTGCATGCTGCAGCCTGGAACAGAGTGAGACCCCCCTGCAACTCAATAAGTAACTGCAGTGTGGACAATAGGCTGTGGGAAGGTAGAAATAGGGTGTGCCTCACACAAGGGCACAGCTGCATCTATCAAAGGGGGTGCCTTTAAAAAAGGGGAAAAAAAAAAGAACTTGAGTTGGTTCGTGTAACAGTATGGGCTTCAGTCACAGCTGGATTCAGGGGCTCCAGTGTCGATACAGAATCATGTCTTCCCATCCCTGTGTTCTGTTTTCCTCCGAGACACTCTGAGTTTCAGGCAGCTGGATCCCACGTGGTGGGAAGATGGTCCCCAGCAGCTCTGTGCTTATATTCTACCAGGTCAACAACCCCAGCTAAGAGAGCATCTGCCTCCCCAAAGCTCCAGCCAGAGTCCTAAAACTGACTCTCACCTGTTTGTCCCCACACCGGTTACTCAAGCCTGTGGGATGTGGAGCTCCGGCCAGGCCTGGGGCAGGTGTAGCCCTGGAGGTGGGGGCAGAGGGGTGGGGAGGACAGTCAGCCCCTCTGAGTCACATGGAATGAAGGTGGGGGAGGTGGTGTGTCCAAAGGAAAAGAGAAGGTCTGTGATCTCAAAAAAGCAGCCTGTCCAAAACCCACCCTTCTTAGGAAAGGACTGGAACCAGGTTCCTTGGTATGACTCAGATCAGGTAAATTTAGGTGAATGTACCCAACCCACCATGACCTATTTGCCTAGAGTTGAAGACATTGATCTGTGAGTTTATGAGTTTATCCACGTGCCACCGTGCATAAATGATGGTTTTGTGCACTGTCCTTGAACTGTCAAGCAAGATTCCCCAAACCTGTTTGCCCAACCTAAGGGTGCGGGTTAGGCCAGTCCTTCCCTTGGCGGAGAGGTTCTCAGGAACTAGAGGAGGGAAGTAAGTGAGTGGCCCTCTGCCCCAGGGAAGGTTGAGACCCGCAGGGTCTCGGGGCAGGGATTCTCTCTCCGGTGCAGCCAGATACTCCCATGGTCTTTGAGGGCCAACCTTCCAAAGGAAATGAAAGTACGAAAGCCTTTGGCTAGAAGTACACAACCAATTTTTTAATAAAGTCATTACAAATATGTACAAAGCGTCTCCAAGGTACGAAATTCCTCTTACAAAACAGCACAATGAACCCACAACGTCAGAACGGAATGTCCCCAAGCTTATCGCCTCTCTGGGCTTCCAGATACCCTCACAGCCATCCCTGCCTCGCACAGGCACCTTGGTGCTTATAGTGCAAAAGACCTTGGTGGGGGAGGAACTTGGGAGTGCAGGTGGGGAAGGGGGAGGAAGGAGATAAGAAAAGCTTCCTGTGTCCTAGGAAATAAGCTGGACAGGCCCTGCTTGCAAATTAGACAAAGGGAGAGAGTCATACATAAAACCCCAACTAAACCTCCAGCCTGCCCCCAAGTTTTCCAGATGTGACACTCTCAGGGGGCCTAAGCCAGGCGCTCCAGCCACATGCTGGTGCTTGACCTTGAGCTCGCAGTGTATGAGACACCCTCATGAAGGCATCCAGTAGGACCCAGCAGTCAGCACTGGCTTGGGAGCCACCCAGACTCCAGTCCAAATCTTGGCTCAGCCACTTCACTCATCACGTGGCCTTCAGCTAAATGGCTTAAGTTCTCTGAGCCTCATCTTCCTCAGCTGGAAAATGGGGATAACAACAGTACAGTCTGCTAAGGTGGGTGAGGCATCATCGAGGGGAAGACATAAGAAGCGCCTTGCAGGGTACTTGGGAATGGCGAGTGTGCCATCAAAGGTAGCTTGGATTATTGGGTAAAGCAGCAAGGGCCAGTCTCCACGCCAGCAATAAGTGGAGATCGCAAGCGTTTTGATTGCCTTCAGCTGACAGCAGGGCTCTCAGTAAATACTATAGACTGATCCGCCAGCGAGGCTCGGGGTCACAGTGGTGACCTGACAAATCTGCTAAAAACTGTGAACCAGACTGGGAAGGGACATTTCACATTGCCTGGTTCCAGGCAGGGCTGTCCCTCCATGATCCATAAGTCAGTCTCTTCTAAGATGGAATTCTACAACCTGGCGCAGGCAGATGCTCGATAAACATGTGTTGAATGAATGAATTAAAAATTTTAATAAACTTTTGGCTTAAGCTTTAAAATGACACTTCAATATTAATGTCCTCCCCTCCCTCTCCAGTGGGATTTCCTTTCAGCTCCCATGGGATTAGAGGGTCTAGCCGGTCCCCCAAACACCCAGCCAACCTCTGACCAGAAAAGAAATTGGTATCAACACAGAAGAACAAACCTGTGTTCTGGTCACTGCAGCTTCTAAAACACTCAAAACACCTACAAGATTGAGTCAGTGTCCCTTAGAGATACTTGAGTGGGTGGGTGAGGACTCTCCCAGTTTCCTAGCAAGGGAGAGTAATATTTTGTCACCATCAGAAACATAATAGAGTGAGGAGTACGTGAAATTAGCTACATACATTGTTAAAAAGTCACAGTTTTATTGTTCTGTGACAGTATTATTTAAATCACCTTTTTTCCTCCCATCAAAATAGAAAAGAAAGGAAATAAGACCACTGGAGGAAGTGGAAAAGAAGTCTCCAGGATCCCCATCAAGGCGGTTCAAAACAAAACAAAAGCAGGAATTGGGCTCCAGGAGACACTCATGGCCTAGGACCATGGACAGCAGCCAGTGGGGCTAATAAGCTCCCCAGAGAATCTTGCTACTCAAGCTACAGCTATGACAAAGAGAACAGGCTATGGAGCCCCGAATCTAAAACGAGATCTTACTTGCTCGTGGGGGATTGGGTGGGGGTGAGAAGCCCCAAAAGAGAATGGATCTCATTTGGAATGTGAAAGTCCCGGGGGCGGGGGGGCGGAACTGCAGTCCCTGTGGTTCCCAGCCCCCCACCCGCTGAAACCAAGCAGCACAACCAGGGAGGAGGGAGCAAAGCGACTCCCCACCCATTATGCAGCAAGCTACCTAAACGATGATCTCAGAGGCCTCCCTCTGCTTTGCACGGACACACACACACACACACACACACACACACACACACTCTCTCTGCTGTCTGCTGAAACCCGATATGAGGTCTTTTTTAAAATTTATTTCAAAGCCTCCCTCCCTCTCTCGCTCTCTTCACAGACGCTCTGCAGTGAAGCTAATCAAAATCAATGACTCCTTGGCAGCCGGGAGAAAAGGGAGGGGGGAGAGGGAGGGATGTCGCCAGCACTTTACAGGCTGTGAAAATATTTTTTAAAAAACAGAAACCACCCCACTATCTCATGCAATCCAAGTAATGCAACAGGAGAGACGGTGGAGACAATATGTGTGTGTGTGTGTGTGTGTGTGTGTGTGTGTGTGTGTGATGCTTCCATTTCCTAATACAAATGCCCATCAAGAAGTCAAATCTTGTATAAAAACAAGCAGTAAAAACAACCCCTTGTCAAAAATCGGGGCAGTCGAGAAGTGCACTCAAATGAATGATGTGCAAGAGAAGGCCAGGATTTGAGAAATACACGGTTTCTAACAATGCACGGGAGTATGTACAAGGGACTTGGCTGTGAAGGCCCATCAGGAGGTCATGGGTGCCCAGTTCTCTCAGCAAAAGTGGCTTCATTGAAACAAAAATGGCCCCGAAATGCCAACCCTGGGATCTGGAGTTCAGATGCTCCAGG